ACGCTCGATGTGCCGCATTTTTTCCGCCCTCTTAGAGTTAAACCAATCAGAGCGCTCCAATGAATTTACAATAAACAGAAAACGTATTGCAAAAACATTGTAGTTTTGTGTGTCTATCTGGTAAGTCGACCTTTTTTACATTAAAAATAATATTCGCAAAGGTTTCTTTTAAGGGTTTAAAACCGATTTATATATGGGTAATTTTGTTTTTCTACTAAATAAAAAACGAGAAATAATTTTAATTATATTGTATTTTAGGAAACATAATTATAGATTATAATAAAATAGACTTATAACAAATTTTGAGTTATAATTTTAAAAAATTTAACAATACTTTTAGTTTCTCTAATATACTAATATTCGGACAAGATATTCAAAGAAAATCCAAGCTAAGTTTACCGGTTACTTTTAAACTATTGGAAAATTCATCATAACCATAATAATGCCCATTATAAAGGAAATAAATTATGCCATCGGTGTATCGAAATACAGAGTCTATTTTACTAGGCACTCCTGTAAATTGCTCAGTTATGAGAGCGGTGCTTTTAGGTAAAAACCGACAATCATCAATTTCGCTAAACATATCGAAAAACCAGTACGTTTTACCACGGTACGAATTGACGACCCCTCGTATGGCTGGATAATTCTGCATAAGAACATTATAATGCTCACGTTTAAGCACCTTAAACGAGGCGTATTCGAAAATATAAACCATACTTTCACTGAATAATACAATTTCGTTATCTGGTTTTTGATAAATACCTGATATTTTCTCAAAAGGTGTATGTAAAAATGTTAACCAATCAGTTATTACAAGCGGTGTATCTTGAATTTCCCTAGTGTTTAAATTTAACATCCACACGTAGCTTTTATAAAACAAGTAAAAGTTTTATTTATTCACAATTAATAAACGAGGTATTTGACATCTTAGAATTTAAAATCACATAATTTTAGGACTTTTAATTGATTCCTGCGTGTTCGGCGTTGGGATAGTCGTCGTTGTCTTAGTGGTTGTCGTAGGCATCGTTTTTGTTGTCTTCATGGTTCTCACCGTGGTTCTAGCCGTTGTCACTACCGGTTTGGAACCGTATAATTCTTGAATTGCCAATATATCATCTTGCGATAGTTTCGTTGTGTTTTCAAACACCAAAGACGGGTACATTATAGATTCGTAGTTTGCAGAATGCGCTATACCAAGGACGTGACCTATTTCATGTGTTAAAACTCTCAACAGACTTGTAGCGCCTTCCGGGACCGTTCTCATCAAATACAACTTAAAACTTTTTTTGAATGTGACTTCCTCGGTCGTTGACATTAAATCGGGGAAATAGGCATGCCCTAGTATCATTCCTCCTGTTGGAAATGGGCACCAATCCCTATTATTAATTCTTCGGAACGTATGGTTTGCTTCCGTAAATGAAATCACTATATTTACAGAAATATTTTTTTCGAGTACGGGTTAACATACTCAAACTGCAAATTGCTATTGCAGATCACATTTCGAAAGCCTGTCTCGTTATTCCTACATATTTTTGTCTATGTGGAAGATATGCGGTTGATGGAGGGTAAACTGTCCACTTTAGAATATTAGTATTCCATTTTCCTTGTTTGCTATTGTGAAGGGTATAGTAATTATCAGAAGTTCCACACCAATTCCTCTGTATAAAAGAAACGGTTTGGGGGTTCAATGTTCCATCCTCTGGTAGATTATATATAGCCTGAAACTCGCTTAAACCATCAGCCAATGATTCTAGGTTCTGGACGTCTGCTGATTCATTATTATGAAAATACCCGTGAAATCGTAAGAAAGTCTGGGCTTCTTCTTGTGTTAGCTCACCACCACTTGCAGAGTGGGTAAGCACCACTGTCACTATCGCTAAAATAACGTACATGTTGTTCAGACAAGATTAGACTGTCAACTGAATGTAAGTAGTTTGTTAACCACCATATATATGTTTAGGGTCTATATATCACTTCTAAACGTTCAAGCTCCCTTAAAATCTTGAAAATATCTTTCTTTTTTTCTTGGGTTTGGTCCAGTACATATAGTCTATCAACCAGTTCATTAATGTCGTTGTATTCCAGAGGAGGAGAGTTATCGCTTAAGAGTTGTTCATTTACGTAGTCGTATTTAGGAGGAAAGCTTTCATCACTAACCCGTTCCGTAATAAGTTTTCTTCTGCATAAGTTTATGCTCTTCCTTGCTGGAGGAAATAGTTTAGAAATAATATTATATTCCAGCTTTTGTATTTAATTAATGGTGTCTATCGCTGATTAAACTGATGCCTATGTGCGTTTGTTAGTAACAGTATAAACTTATAATTCTCTAAATCTACTTCAGAGTATTCAGTAGGATGCGATTGAGTAAGAAGATTCAATAATCCGCTCGTCAGTTCAAATTTTTCATCTTAATTGCTAGATTAACTCGTCATCTTGAACTTCTACTGGTTCGTCACCAATAAGCAGACGTTTGTTCACTCTTCTAATACCAAATACATTTCGGTGTGGTATATCCAAGAGTTTTAACCTACAGCGTTGTTGCCCCATGATCGATGACGTACTAATGATGCCTTTCATAAGAATATGTAGTATTTATAACTAACGCAACACCAACGCAACAAGAACACAACGCTAACGCAACACGAACGCAACGCTAACGCAACACGAACGCAACGCCAACGCAACGCTAACGCAACTCTAACGCAACGCCAACGCAACGCTAACGCAACACTAACACAGGCCCGATTGAAACAGACCTGATTGAAACAGACCTGATTGAACGGACCTGATTGAACGGACCTGATTGGTACGGCCCTGATTGAAACAGACCTGATGAAACGCCGATTGGACAGACCTGAATTGAAACAGACCTGAGTTGAACGCCCTGATTGAACGAGATCGGGTTCGAAATGCTAAATATAACAAAGATGAGGCGAGAATTTCAGAGAAAGATTATAAATGCTGCTAGTCATATACTGAAAAAAAAACATCTAGCCTTGAAATTAGAACGTGATGAGGGAGATGAAACTATAAATAGAATATTGGGACCTATAACTATATCCTTAAATAAACTCGCAGACAGAACAATAAAGAACGAGGAAGAGGAAATTGTAAAGATGGAAAAGGTAACACCACCATCATCGATAAAGAAACAGCCGAAACCTGAACGCAGTTCTAAAAAGTATGTTGAATTCCAGCCGACTGAAATGATTGCGGAGAAGTCTGGAAACAGTGATAATGATGATGGATGATAATGGTTTTATGGAAAGTAAACAATCACTACAAGCAATTAAAGATGCTAACGAAGATCTTCAAAAATCAATTCTAGAACAAACTGAGTGTACAAGAGCTACTTGGATCAGTATCAAAAATAGCACATGAATTTATCGATAGGTACTTTATAGATTCCGATGAAATAGATCATACGTATGGTTTACAACATAATGCACCAACTGAAACCTGGAAAATGGGGACGGAAAAAGTGGATTTTCTTCAAAATGGTGATATACGAGTAGGCGATTCTATTTACAAAGGAAATCGTGGTTTATATGAATTGTTATTTCTAAAAAGAAAATATTTTTATTTTTAGTAGGTATGTATTTTTCATTCAGAAAATATTTGAAGCAAACCAACGTTCACAAAAGAGATTTTAGTCCATTGGGACAATTGAGAGGTAGTAAATCTGTGAAATATAGGGATTTCGTTAAACCATTGATTACAGCTGCATCTTCGGCTTCGCTTGAAGGTTCAAGACTTAGGCATTCATCAGCCAGCAATATAGCACAGAAAATCCCTAAAACCAGATCGAAAACTAAATCTGGATCCGCACTACTTGAGTATAATGAAAAACCTAAAGAATATATTTATTATGATGACGTCAACGAGTTGGTGGATAGATTAAGTAAACTGGATGCCTCTCAAACAGCAGGAAACGGAAACCATACGAATGAAATAATGAGTATTCTTGAAGAATTGTTTAGACTAAGGTTGTATTGGACTATAAATAAAGTGTTTATACTAGATATTTGAGCATTATTATTTCAACCATGAACAAGTTCGGATGGTCTTTATCTTCCAAGCGTAGGTTAGTACACCCTCAACCTGAATTTTTCCACACACCTGAAGGAGATTATGATTTTGAAAAATCGGAAAAATATACTAATGTTGAAGACCCTACAGAAGAGAGCGATGTATCGACTAAACGATATACTGATGAGCTAGCAGGGAAAGTCCGCGAAGAGATAAAATTTCAAGCTCGTTCTATGGAAACAATAAACGCATTTAACAGTGTTCTTGCCGAAAGATTAGAAGCGTTAGAGATAGACTTACAGGAGCGTTTTCAAAAAATTTTCAACACGTTACGGATATGTATAAGAAATTTGGAACTTTAGAGGATGAGATAGTCAAGAAACTGCATATAGATCTTGATATGCTGGAAAGTGCGATAAAGAATTATACAGATACGGTGATTGAAAAATCCAATAAGGCTAAACGTCTAGAACTGGATAGTATCAATTTTAAACTATCAAACATTGAGCATGATATACGAACATTGATACGATATAGCAGCCACAATATCGAGAGTGCTTGATACCCCCCCCCCCTCGTTTTAGACATAACAAACCAGAAAATAGACGATTTATCAAACGATTTGGATGATGTAAAAGGTGTCCTTGAAGATTTATATTAAGTAAAAAAATTCTAACCCAAATAAAATATAAATACACATATACCAGCACTATTTCGTTAGACAAAGCGATGGGTTCTAGAGAACAAGTCGTTAGGGAACTTCATAAACTCGCTCGTATTAAATTCAAAAGACGAAGATTTATTCAGTATGGTTTAGACGATACTTTTGCCACCGATCTTGCTCAATTAGATCAATATTCTCGAGAGAATAAGGGCCTATAAATATATCATTGTTGTGAATTGAATTGTTTTCCAAATATCTATGGACAAAACCTGTAAAATCAAAATCTGCACCAGACATTACTAAGGCAATGGAAATCATATTGAAATCTTCAAACAGAATTCCTAAAAAGTTGGTGTCGGATAATGGCAAAGAGTATTACAACAGTCAGTTTCAAAATTTGATGAAAAAATACAAGATCCAACACTACAGTACTTTTAGCCCTTTGAAAGCCTCTATAGCTGAACGTGTAATTCGCACTATTAAGGAAAAATTATTTAGATCGTTTACGTTGAATGGGAACCATAAATGGCTGGAATTACTAAATAAAGTTACAGAAGACTATAACGATACGAAACACAGAACCATTGGAATGAAACCGAAGAATGTGGATTGTAATAGTGAGAAGAAACTACTAGATGGCGTTTATAGTCATATTAAGGTAGCGGGAAAATCAAAAATTTTAAAGTTGGCGATACCGTTAGAATCTCAAAAAGCAGAACATATTTTTGAAAAAAGGATATACGCCAAATTGGACCACTGAGCTTTTCAAAGTATCTAAAGTAAAAATTACAAACCCTGTAACGTACCTTTTAGAAGATTATCAAGGTAATCCCATCAGCGGTGGATTTTACGAAGAAGAATTACAGAAAACTAAACAACCTGAAATCTATCTTGTAGAGCAAGTGTTGAAAAAAGAAGGAAATAAAATTCTAGTCAAGTGGTTAGGATTCGACAAATCACATAATAGTTGGATTGATAAAAGTAAAGATATTGTCTAAACCTCTTCAGTATTCAAAATGCATTAATTGTGTAAGGAGTGTAATTTCCACTGTTTAAGTCATCAACATAAAAATAAGTGTTGTGTAGAATTAGAACCTGGAATTCAGCTTGTTAGGTGTGCTTTTAAAATCGAATTAAATCTTATAAGATAACCTCTGAATCACATTCGAATAATATATCCTATACTATATTAGGATGCTCTAAAGATGCTATTGTACGTTTACTTCAGGAACATATATCGATTCATACCTCCATCAAAATCAATATGGAATTATTTTGTTCATACATACATTAGGGATCTGAAAACGAAGAAGTATTAAAATCGTTTAATTCCCGATATGATGTTGTTTACGAAAATACAAATCTGGAGGAAGTATTCAACGAGTTTAAACAAGTCTTAGTGACGAAATCTGGTGCTTTCAAGGAAAGAGATAGCGGCTGGTCGTTACGTAAGATTCTATTTTTAGAATTGATAATAAACAAGTTTAAAAAATAAATTTAGTTTTGACTGGTGGTGGTAGGGGAAGGAAATAAAACGTATACGATCGATTAGTAATCGTCAAGACATCGGTTTGTGCGTATGTCGAGATGGAAGCGCTAGACATAACCTCAAATTCATCATCATGTTCCTCACCAGATTATTTCGACTATCTAAACAGTATGGTTTTACGAAGTAATATGGAAATCAAGAAAGAACGCAGATTGTTGGCTGAAACGTGTTATCCCACGAAGAACTTTGATATTGTTGCTGGAATAAGTATCGCGAGAGGTTTGATACCTACAGTTAAAATTGTGAACAAATTATTCAACCTACACAATGAACTAATGATAATCTCTTTTGACGATACGGATTGGTTCGAGTTTTTGAACATTACATCATCATTTATTTGGTAGCCTGAAAATGAAGAAAATGGAGAAAACTGTTCAAGCCCTATCTGAATATTTCACCGTTAAAGCAAGCAAATTCCTGGAAGAGTGGATAATTACAGTGATGTGTTTGGATGTACCGTTTTGTTTCACCATAAGAATTCCGAGTTAATTTTAAATCAAAAGTATTTATTGTTAATTAATGGTTAGAGTTACTTGTAAAATTAGATTTAAGACCTTTTTACGATAATCTTTTACATTAATATTAGAGCTTGTAATGTCTCTGAAGAAAATTGTTTGGAAGAAATTAAAAAATATTGTTATTTAAATGTTTGTGAATTATCATATTTAATTTGGAATTTTCTAGAAATAATCAAATAAACTCAGAAATGATTTTCAACTCATATGTGTATTTACCGCTTGTGAATAAAATGTATAGAAACTATAATTTAAACGAGCTTAATACTTTAGTGTTATTTAAACACTTGAAGAGTAAATATGTGTAAAAGGAGAAAGATGTCTACAGAAGATATAAATTTTTTTTATTAGAGAAACATTTGGCTAATTTACAACAATTAAAAGACTTATAAATTTTTAGCGAAGAGGAACAGTATATGTTTTCGAAACTTCTAGAATTGAAGATCTCCCCTAAACATACTTAAATTATTTGTTTGGATGACTCGCCCTAAACGAATAACGCAATTTTTTTAAAATCAAAAGTTTATTGCTAATTATAGGTTAGAGTTACTTGTAAAAATAACACCTTGTAACTGTTGTGAATAAATGTATAGAAAATAATAATTTAACGTTTATTCTTTTAGTATTATTTAACCATTTGAAAAGTAAACATGTATTTGGATTGGCAAAATATACTACAGAGGAGTTAAAAGCACTGTCTGTATAAGAATTTCTAGAAGAGCATATTAGCCCCTATACGCTTTTAAATATATGGTCTCGACTTCCTATCGAATACAAAAATAAATTTCTATTTTTTTTTTTTTTTTTTTTATTGTTTTATTCACTACAACAGACCTGATCAAATGACTCATATTGACGGTCCTCCACCTTCTCAAGCAAGATGCCGAGATTGTTTATATTCTGTCCGTCAACATAGCTAAACAGTCATTCAGTATCCAGACATGGCGGCGTAAGTTGTTCTATTATATTTGCGTTATAGTGCAAATACATTCTATATAAATAATTTTTTTTTTTTTTTTTTTTTATGTTTGTTTATGTTTAAAAACAACTGATACTACAACGAAGTGTAAATGGCCAGAAGCTTGGCAGAGATTGAAATATAGCAATAACGGATCGGTGGAAGTTTTCAAACGTCCATTATCGGGAGAAGAGACTAGGAATAAGACGAACATAAAATATAAATAAGGGTAATCTTTCAAAATAGAAGTGTTGGAGATCAATCTGATTGGCAGATGCTACCCATCAATTTTAACGATAGTTCATCTATGAAAAATCAGACGTGTAAAAAAGGATAAGGAAGAACCTACAGTGATTTCAATATAGTTCTAATTTTTTGTAATATATTATGACGTTTATATCAATCTGCTATAATAGTATTTAGTACATGCGCCCGAAAATAATCAAAAAGTAAAAAAAAAAAAAAAAATTTAAATAATATAAAAAATTTGTATTTTGTTTTTCATTAACCTGTATCTATAAATATACATATTTCTGTTTGTGGTAAAGCGTGTTAGCGGTCTTATCGGTAACTTCCGTGTATAGAAAACCAATTTAATCGCCGGTCGTATACATTTGATCGCTTTTTAGTTCATTTCTAACTTCTAACGGTTTTGGAATCAAGAATTTTTCTGTGTATTTTGAGTGTGTTTAGTGAAAAGGGCTTAAAAGTGTGTGATATCGAAGAGTGATTTTCGTGTGTTAAGTGCCTGTTTAACGGAGTATGTGGATAATAACTGTAAACTCAGGTAGGTCCGTATTTTTAAGGTCTCTGTGTGTTTTTATGGTAATAAACCTATTTTTTCGGCAAATTTGTACATGGGTCTATAGCGTGATGGTATATGGGTGTTAAGAAAAATCATATTTTAGTTATTATTTTTTTATTCCATCTATAAGTTTTAATGTTTCAAGCTTAAATTAATTTTATTCCATAGTAAATTAATTATTATAGCGTATTTTTCATTTTAAGTGATATTATTTTTTCTGCTTGGATAAGGGTACATGGTATAGGAAAGACCACACCCCAATATTATGGACGTTGTGTAAAATATTTTAAAGTTACACGAAAATAACCGATGTTTGCCGAAGTCGATGACAGATGACAGCGGTTTGTTTAACCTAATTTAAATGAAAACTTTTCCTTTAATCTCTATTTTTTATTAGGAAAATCGTATCATAAATAGTTTAATTAACTACTTTTTGTTTTTAATGTTTTTTTTAATAAACACCATTGTTTATGCATAATTAGTTTATAATACATTTTTGGTAATATTATTACACCTGTGGTTAATAGGTATAAGGCGCGGGAGTACAATTAAATAATGACTAGGATATTTGACATAGTCGTTATTTAATTGTAACTACGGTCTATACCTTTGAGACAGCTTTAAACCGATGAAGAACAATGGAGCCCAAATTACAGTTACCTTCTTTGAGCTACCCGATAGGTGGCGCTTGGTAGTTCCGGAGTTAGGCGCTAGATGGCGGTCGGCGACTACGTACAGCGTTGCCGGATGTATAATGAAATGCGACGTTGCCAAATCTAAAAATCAGAAGATTTAGGGAAATTACATATAACCCATGTTATAAGATTTACATAGGGTGGGCCGCTATGGACGGGAAAATTTCCCTAAATTTAGGGAGAAAATGGGGGTTGACCTTGGGCTCAAGTGGCCCCATACCTACTAAGTGGCATCCTCCGTAAAGTGTAGTAGTGCATTTGTAGTTACTAGATATCGAGAATAATAGTTATTTTTTATAGAAGACGATAAAATGGTATTTTATCGTCGACCGAAAAGATATCGAGCGATGAAATCGCGAGTGAATAAATTTCAGGAGATGATAATGCAATTTTATCGTAGTGTATAAAATAATAATAAAAAAAAAAAAAAAAATTACGTTTTTAAAAAATATCCAGAAATATAATTTCAAGGAATTTATCGAGTAGAAAAAATATTGTGCTGGGTTGGTGAATGGGTTCTAATGGGTAATTTGACAAACTATAATATAAAGCTGCCTCTTTAGTTGTCCATTTTTGAGCCAATATTTTTGAATTCTCTTCGTGTCGATTTGCTGGGATTGAATTGCAGACAGAAATGGCTTAAACCAAAATAGAAAATTACCAACAGATATTCAGGCTGAGGCGAAAACGCCATATCCAAACTACTTTTCCATTTAAATTCCCGAATAAACTTATGAAAAGGAATACAAAATTTTTTAAAAATGGAACAATTAAAAACGTGCGAGAAGAAATAAGTTTTTAAACTATCCTCGCTATTAAAGTATAATTTAATCTAGCTTTGCGGTTAAAGTACTATTTATCTACTACTGCGTGTACCAGCGACTTGTTCGCGTCGAATTAATCATTTGTAATGGTGTGATAAAGCAAAGCAAGAATTTCCATTACATACAAACTGGATAAATTTTCGTCACATTTATTCCAGCATGAGAAAAAACAATATGGCGATACTATTATATAACTTGGTAATATTTGAGGTAATTTCATCTCGTTGGAACTGGAATTTCAAAATATATTAAAAAAAAAAAAAGCTTTTTACGTCAAGCAGTTTAAGCAGAAATGTGGTTAAGAAATTTACCCATACTTTATGGAACACCCTGTATGATTTTTAACCAAATTCAAAATTTCAAAAATATGTAAAAACCAAATAAATTATGCTTTGTCCAAGCCGTTTTCCCGAA